AAATGAAGTGCCTCTTACTATTTAAATATTCACATTTTAAGAAGAAGATAGGAATTTTACATTTGATTTGAAGCGTTCCTCCTCTGTATTGACAGATACTGCCCTCATTGTTTGCAAAACTCACAGCACCTTGCAAAGCCCGCATAGCACAGCCTAGACCGAGATGGAGAGCGCTCGGACCACAGAGGCCAGCAGGCCTGAGCATTCAGATGGGCTGCGCACTGAAAGCAGAAAGCTACACAAAGACGGGAAAACAGCCTTTGGAAAACACTAGACTCTTCTGTTAATCAACATCTGCTGTTCTATGAACAAGTGAAACGTAAATGTGGAAATAGCATGAAAGCTACATCTCACAGAACTAAAAGCACCCCGTGCTATCTACCCAACCACAACTCTGTGCTGTGCTACCATTTGCTACATGCCTGGGTAAATAATCTCAATAAATTAAGCAAACCAGAAAAACGCATCCATTCTGAAGTCAGTGAACAATTAGGTGAAGCCCTGCCAAAGACTGCCATTGACATGTGCATCTCTCACTTTCCTACAAATCTATGAGCATTGGTTCCACACAACAGACAGGAGATGTTCTACAGATGTTGTGCAGAACTCAATACAGTTGCAACCAGAGAGTGGCATTGCTCAGCAGCCTCAGGCCTTTACAGGCAGTGACCATCAGTCTGCTAAAGGCACAGTCTGCTCTGATCCTTCAGCCTACTACACAGCACTTAAACATTTCCTCTCTATGGCCTGAAGACCTGGTAAAAGACTATCATGGTAGCAGAAAATGCAAAAATGCTTCCCCGAATAAGAATTAGGATCCTGGCTAAAGTCCTCACACTGGCAGATCCCACTTTCTTCATTAGGGAAAACTGGTGAGAGACCCTGAGGTTTCTATGAGTGAACCCCAGCGCATAACATGTGCTTTAATATTAAAAGTGCAGTTCCATCAGCTGCACCATTGCAACTGAGCCCAAACTGTAAGTCACCTAACTGATCAGCCAAGGATTGCCCAACCTTGTAATGCTGGCAGTATATTTGAAGAGTAGATCATTCATCTATCACAGAGCCCCCTGCTACAGATATGCTCAGGACCATGAGTTTCCAGATGGTGGTAGCACACCTGCACTGAACAGGCAAGAAAATTTTCTTCTGGAGGTGCAGCCTCATCAGCTTCAGGGTCAGCTTGGCACAGATCTTCATGCAAAAGCTGTTTATTTTTCTGGAATTCACCCACAAGCTGTCCCAAGAACACAGCATAACTCCTTCCTGCTCCCATCAGTGGCTTGAGTTCAGAATGGAGCTGTTTAGAGCAAAAGCATTTTGAAAAGAGCTCTTCTTCCAAGAGCTGCTTCTCAGTTTTGCATCCTTCTTCTTGTTTCTAACATAACACCCATTCAGGAGGAGCTTCGGGTGTGGAGGGTGAAGCTGCTACTTCTAAAACCGCAAACAAAATTGCATGCCCTCTGAGATCAAGTAGATTTGAGTATGTCGTTATGTGTATCCACCTACTAGCTGTGCACAAGGAAAAGGCTATGAAAAACATAAAGAGCTCTGTTCCGGAAGAAATGAGGAATCTCATCACAGAGTAAATCCTCTGGTCCGATTCTACATTTAGCTACTCAATGAGGCAGACAGTACTAGACCTCTTCCCATGACAGAGGTCCTAATTGTTCCTTCCTTTCCTTTATTTCTCTACTAACAGTATCAAAGAGAAAAAAGCCCCAATCATCTGCAAATCATTGTGTTAACTGAAGCCCACTCGTTACGCCAAGAGCAGGGGAGTACGAGCTGTTTGCTCAGAAATAGAGCTCCCATTGCTAAATTTGTACTGGCATGCAATGGGCATTGTAAATAAGTATTCCTGATAGCACCCAACTGACTTTGGATGAGGGGTTGAGATTTGCACCGCAGTTTTCATCAGTTGTTCCCAAGAGTGGTTCATTCATTAACTGATGCTTTTGCCTGATAATTATTGCATAGCCATTACCTGTGAAACAGTTATTCTATTCAGTGGATATTCTAATGCAAAAACCTCACTGCATAAAGGAAACAGAAGAGATGTCGTGTTTATTAATATTCGGTGTCTGCTACAGTAAGTGCTTTTGCAGACAATACCCACACTTGCTCCGCAAGAATGTATAACTAATGCACTTCCGGAAATGATCTCATGAAGCAGAAACTGTGAAGCTAAGAACAGATGGAAAGCAATCTTCCGCTCACTTCTGCATTTTGAAATTAGAAATAATTTCCAAATAAGAACTTAGATTAACAAAGAAACTGCAGGAGCAGAAATATAGAAAATATGGTACTTCCACTCATTACTTGGGAACGTTCAAGTCTTCCCATTTACTGTCAGTGATTATTTGCTTTTGCTTAAAAAAAAAAAAGTGTTTAATTGTGAGAAAATAATTAGAGTTAATTAATGTGGTGGGCTCACTGAATGCTTCTTCTGCGTATCTTAAATATCCTCAAGGAAATCCTGTTGCTTATAAATTGCAATTTATAAATACAGTACCCCACTATAAACAGCTGGAGGAGCAAGAGGAAGGAGAGTTTACTACTGGGAAGTAAAGAACGTCTTCTCTGACCCACGTCTTATCAGCCTCAGACTCAAGTGCAAAAGACAGAAGGAAATTCATCACATGCAGGACAGGTAGTTTAAAGGTGGGAGGAAGGTCTGACAGGCAAGCAGGGAAACGATCCTGGAGAAATAATGAATGAGAAATAGGCACGGCTGGAGAAGCCGAGGGGAAGAGTTGTGCTTTTGATGCATTTGTAGAAAGCAGCCAGGCATATTTTACTGTATACTTTTGCTGCAGTGGAAGAAACTATTGTGGTCAGATTAGTTCCCCTCCCTGCTGTGACTTTTTTTGTCTGTAGAACAAGAAGTAAAATAAGAAATAGGAGATTCACAGCTTTGAGTTTCACTCTGAGGACGTGCATTTAGAGCTCACAACTGCCACAGTGGGTCGCAGAGGTGATACCTGACCACTGGTTTCAGGGCTAGAGACTCTCTTTACACCATTTACACCAATTCCTCCCCCATGTACCTCTTGAGGGGCATGAAAGCCATCTGTAGGCAACATAAGGCACATTGACCTGCCTACTGCTACGTGGGGTGGAGGGATCTTCATCTTAATGAAACTCAGACCTAGACTTGTCATGGAACGATTTGTAGACTGAAATGGAGAAAGTAATGGTAAAGCAATTAAAGAGAGTAGAGGTTAAGTAATGAGCTAACACACATCTAATGGAGATAAAAATGACTGAAACTAAAAGCTCTTTTCTTTTTTCCATTTATTTTCTTTAAAAATACGAAGATGAAAGACATGGAATATCTCTGAAAAATAAGTGTTGCTGAAATGCAAGAGCCACTTGAAATTACCTAGCATTTACCCCTCTGAAAAAAGAGACTTCTGTGCAGAGCAACCTCCACACTGCTTCTTCCTGAGGCCTCTGATCACTTGTCCACACCTTGCAAACATTCCTGTTTGTTAGAGGCGCAGAGATCGAACCATGCCAGAGGATTCCTGCCCTGCTGTTAACCCCTTTTAAATGGAATAAGAAAGATTGATAAAGGGTGCTGGGTCTTGGGTCTGGTAGGGCCAGTACCTCTTCAGAAAGGCTAGGCTGAAAGCCAGCTTTATCCCTTGTTTATATCTTGTTTTCAATTCTTCTTTTTCACTAGATTTGCAGCAACTTTTGAAGTCTCTGTAGCAGTTCCCTGGAGTAACTCAGTTCCGTTTCGTCAGAAGATTTTGATCTTTCACAGACCGTGACCAAAACGGGATTGATTTAGAAAGGAAGAAGAGCCTCAAATCCCTGACGGCTTAGAAGCTTGGTTCTGTCTCACTTTACATCCAAATATTTGTTGCCCAAATGTTTGACTAGTGATCTCACACTGGCATAAATTTCCTCCAGCACCCAAACCTTTCAGGCTACAACATCAAATACACGTTAAGGAGACCACAGGCCCACAAGAGGTTACAGGATGAATTGGATGCCTTCTCTTCTGTTTCTGGTCAGGAGTAGTAATTGCAAAGACACTTCTGATTAAAAAGATGAACCGAACAGGACACGCGTGCTGGAGAAGCTGACTGGCATAAACAAGAGGTTCAGGATGGATCGGGACATAGATCTCCATGGGGCTCTATTTTATCTGGTTCAAAGCCTATGTCTCTTAGTATAATTGACAGAAAGAAGTTCCTTCCTGATCAGCTCACAGGCTACTCACAATATGTTACAGGCTCCTTTTCTCAAACACCCTCTCCGAGATGTTGAGCCTGGAGCTTTTCCCTCCCCTCCGTGCTGGATCCTGTGCAGAACTGGGCTGAGTCACCACAGAAGTCCTGTACTGGTTTGAACTGGGGGGCTTTGACCCGACAGAAATGCTGTCCTCCCTCAGAACGGCTGTAAATGGCACAGAAAGTACAAGACTGCAGTATCCACTGAAAAGTGCCTCTCCTACATCACTTGAGTGTTGGTATCTTAAGGGTGTCTCATTGACATGATAAGCAGTTCTTGGAGGCCTGTCTGCAGAGAGAGGAGCTCACTCAATGCTTGCTCATTTCATTCACATCCTCAGCTCAGTGTCCTTTGATCACTGGCACACCTGCACATGCTTCAAGGCCAAAACTCGTTTTGATGCTGCTATAGACATTATGCTCTGCAGCAGCTTGTAGGCTTGAATGACCTAATAATTCAAATCTCCAAATTTCCTTGGAGCAATAGCTGCTTTTGCAACACTTGGATCTATCATCTAGCCCATAATGCAACGTGTGAATTGGCACATTAGCACCAAGTCTTCAAATATGTACATGCAGTTCATCCATCTTCATGAAATGGTATCAATTTGGCTGCCAGGCAGACATGCTGAGAGCTGTCTTTCACTTAAAGTTTTCATCTTATTGAGCTGGGCTATTGAGGGAAGGTAAAGTGAAATTCAG